GGTAACTACTCAGGGACTACTGAGTAGTTACCAAGGACACAAGAGTAACTACTGAGTAGTTACTAATGACACCAAGAGTAACTACTGAGTAGTTACTAATGACACCAAGAGTAACTACTCAGGGACTACTCAGTAGTTACTCTTTGGTGTCATTGGTAACTACTCAGGGACTACTGAGTAGTTACCAAGGACACAAGAGTAACTACTGAGTACTTACTGAAGACACCAAAGAGTAACTACTGAGTAGTTACTAATTACACCAAGAGTAACTACTGAGTAGTTGCTGAAGACACCAAAGAGTAACTACTGAGTAGTTAATAATGACACCAAGAGTAACTACTGAGTAGGTACTGAAGATGCCAAAGAGTAACTACTGAGTAGTTACTAATGACACCAAGAGTAACTACTGAGTAGTTACTTAAGACACCAAAGAGTAACTACTGAGTAGTTACTAATGACACCAAGAGTAACTATGTAGTAGTTATTAATGGCACCAAGAGTAACTACTGAGTAGTTACCAGTGACACCAAGAGTAACCACTGAGTGATTACGAATGACACCAAGAGTAATTAATGACACCAAGAGTAACAACTGAGTTTTGTGTACCTTACCAAAAAGGGATTTGAAATCAATTTACAATTTTAAAAAATATTTCAATACAGCAAAATAAACAAATTTGAAGTGTAAAATATAATAATACTTGTTCTTTTACTGTACATAATGCAGTGTTTCCTCCACCATTATCAGGTGATTCTGCCAAAAATCAGTGGTTTGTACAGATAAATAATTACGTATTATTAGTTTCTCAAAAGTATTGCAATTCAAAGTGGGGCATGACAGAAAATAATTGAGAACCACTGCTATAGAGGTCCTTGAGTTTCACCATTATTGTTAAGGAATGCAGAGATGCACTTATCGAACGTGGAACAGTTTGTCGAACTGAATCATTGACCCCAGTTGACACCATCAGGTTGATGTAGCTGGAGGATAAACAGAAGAATCGGAAGGGAGGTTTGATTGAAAAAAAAAACACTCACCGCTGATTTTTTATGTCTATTTTTAAAACCAAGACCTCTCCATTTTCAACTAATTAGGAATTCTTTTCAGGCATCGATAAGAGCAGTCATATAGCAGACAAACTATTCACCACTCAGTCGCCCTCACTCCGCGGGATACTCTTGACTCCTCTCTAAGATCTCTTGTTAGACCAAAAATCAATCCTTCCATTGAGCGGCAACCTATTTGTTCTCGAGTTTGACAGAGGTTTGTGTCAATAAAGGCAGTGCATTGCTAGTCCCTCCTAGCAAAACAAAGCCTGTGCCTGGCACAGCAATTCCACYACCGGCATTCATGATAGATGGTACAGACATGAACGGAATCACTGGAGCATTTCAGAGCTAGACTGGGCAACGCTAACATGTTTTGTTGCTTCTCAGTGTCACTTCATTAAATGGTAATTGGATTGTGACTTTGATCAAGACCTTGGGTTCACATTATGATTAAAAATGACTTCTTTTTTGTGTTTTGGTCCTTGGACAGAGAAAGCTACAATTTCCCATTCACACAATTATATTTCATGTATATTCAATCCCCAGCCAAATGTGTCTATTACCATTTGAACCTGGAGAGACTCATACAAAGACAGACTGAAATTTGGAAGTAAATTTATTGACGTAAATGACAGAGTTTGGCGCTCAGACCCCGGCAGAGGATACGAGCGCTGTGAGATGATGTAAGCTCCGATGAGCTGCTTGAGATGAGGGGTAGGAGTATTTTCTTCCCACCAGGGCCTGACACTGGTGGTTGAGGTCAAAGGTGATAGAAGTCTTTGGAAGCCAGAAGATGAAGGTTGGAGGAGGGGAGGTGGAAGGTTGACGTTTGGCTGGCAAGCGGCCGGAGTGATTTCAGAGGARGCTTTTATCCACTGACTGTCAGACGCTGATTGGATGAAGCTGTGCTTGTGACGCAGTGGCAGGATGGAGCAGGTGAGGTRAATTAGCCTTCCAGAATTGAATTTGTGTCTCCAACTCCATGTCATGTTTTTCATACTAGCTGTACTCAACAGCAACTATATATTTGTTTCTTTTTTAGTCACATATTTTTTTCCTAACCCAAACCAAGTGGATTYAAGAAAATTTTATTCTTCATTATGTGTGGGGGAGAACCCCTGGAAAAAAGAGAGAGCACAGAGTGAATTGGAGATATTTATTTGTTTAAGTTGAAAAAGAGAAGCAGACAGAATTTCTGCAGGAATAAATCTCATTTCACAGTTGAGCTAATGTGTTAAAGAGTCGTCTATCATTCTTTTACTTTATTATGTATTTGCTTGTTGATGATAAAGTTGGATATTTTTCATGGACAAAGAGTTGTTCAGTCATGTGTGTGTAAAAACAGTGAATTTGGTATATTGGCTGGAGGGTACAGAGTCAAACCTGCAATCAATGTAAAAAAATAAATAAAATGGTACCTTGCTGATTTGGTTTAATAAATTAAACCCAACTTTCTAAACACAAATAGCATTACTGTCAATCTTTGTTGGGTAATTTGTAATTTTTCAACCATAAATTCATGAGGGGGAAAAAAAGTTACATACAGTTTAATTTTAAAAATAAGTGAGCATAAGTTAGTTATATAAAAGTAAAAAAATAAAGTTCAGTGAACTGATGAAACCCCTTGTGGAACAAACAGATTCAACAAACAAAACAGTTTCCAACATGTTTCAAAGCCTCATTTACTTGCAGGAAAGTCAACCAAACATCTCTTGAAGGGATGCACATTGCCAAAGCTTTGTGCAAAGATCTGGACATGATCTATTGGTGCTCAGGGTGGAAATGACTCAACTGCTACCACCCCATATTTCAGCTCAATATTTGTAAAATAAACAGAGTTACAGCCATTTTTGTGTTTGCTAACTTTGAGAAACTGTGGTGGCTATCTTGGATGCATTTGACTCCAAAAGTTAATTATAGTTGTAGATGCACATTCAATAAATTCTTTCTGAGAGTTTCATTAGAATCCAGACAGTTGTTGGTGAAATATTTTGCTAACAGACAAACAAATGAACATGTGGACTCACAGACACATACACAACATTATCATATGACTTTCATGGCAGCAAGCAATTAAAATCACGTCTTGCATAGCTTATTGAAGCTAAAATAAAACAAGAAATATGCACCATTTTTCCAAACTGAAGTTGTTCCAAAAATTACCTACAACAGGTAAGATACTGATTATTCAGAACCTTTCCACAGACCTCTACATCAAAAGGTCTATCACTTTGATGTCCTGGGACAACAGAGCAGTGGTTCCCAAAGTTGGGGTCTGGATCCCTGTGTGGATCCTGAAATGTCCAAATGATTTAATTTGATCAATAAAATGCAAACAAAGAACTATTGGAATATTTTCACCATAACTATTGCTAAAAATTAAAATAATTAATTAGGAAAAGTAGCATCATAGTTATTAGGTTTGTTTATATTGTTATTATGCCCATTTT